GTTGGAGGGATCGAAGTTGTGGGTGATTCAAGCAACGATCTATTGGAAGGGAAGAAAGCTAGTGACTTCTACTACCCGCCACTACATTCTCACATGATGAAAGGTACGTGAACAGTAGAAATGCGACAAGAGAGTGCTTATTTACTTGTATGATAATCTCATATTGCGTCAAGAATAATGCCTATAGTTGCATATGCTTGTTTAAGTATCAAAGGCGAAATGTAATCTAATATTGTTCCCGAATATTCTTCTGACATGCTTAGCGAATCCGCCCTTTAAGAGATTATTTGTTCATTATGCGCCAATCTTGTTGCCATGCCAACTTCAACAAGCAACGCCGGCCCCGTGCTAGCCTCAGTCTCTCCCGCAACCACTTTGCCGGGCCAGCAAAACACAAGATCGTGGGGTTGGCGACTAGGGCTTATGTTATCCGGGCATTTTCCCTGACTTGACTGAAATTCTATGGTAGTTTTCATGACAACCCTGAGAAGTTCAGGGTCCTTTTCGTCTCAGCCCTGAGGACTTCAGGGGGAAATTTTACGGGACCCTGAATTCAACAAGGGCTTTTCCGTCGAGACCTGATGCATCCGAGCAGCTTCGGGGGCTACCCTAAACCAGAAATATCTCCAAACCCCCCCCCTCCCGCACCCCGCCCCACCCCTCCCTTTTCTGCCTCAGCTCCCCCCTTTTTTCGCCCTCGCCAAAATTCCCTCACAATTCTCGAGCCCCGCTTTCCGCCAACATTTCCTTCCGCTCCTACCAAGACTCCCTCTCAAACCTTGTTCCCACCAACACCTCCACTCCCGCCTAGATTTCGAATTTTCAAGCCTACGAATCCAGATTCATAATTTCTCGCGCTCTGGCTGCTGGATCTGAGCTGGGACTAAGATCGATCACCACATCTTAGCTTACCTCACGCTAATCCAGCCTCTTAGCCTAGCAATTTAGGTTGTTACTAGTAGGATTCCCAAAGCACCTACTCGCTGTTTTCTAGTCCACGCTACTTCATGAGAACCTAACTGTAACATTCAGTCCATAATGGATGATGACTTGGTCATGCTGTCATTAAGGAGTGGTATTTCATTCATTTTAAATGAGAACGTGGAAGTTGTGCACGTTACTGACGAAGCTTCTCCAACTCAGCAAGAGCCTTTACGTGTTGACTCAGTCATCTTAGACCTGGGCTTAGGGGGGGCAGGGGATGAAGTACCAATTCATAGACGTCCGTCTGACCCCGGGATGACCACTGTGCGCCCATTGTCCTCAGCACAAAAGACAAATCCTGCTCAGCCGCGTCCCCACAAGCAAATCCGCTTATGCTTTGCATCAGCCCCTACAAAGCGTAAACGAAGGGAGCACGCAGCAGATGATGCTGCTCCCATCACGCCAAATCAACACTCTGACCCATCTACTGCTACGAATCAGGGATATGATCCTCCTGCTCTACCGAGTCAGCCCACTGATCCCTCTCTTCCAGAGGCTGTGCAAACTGCTCGTCCGATTCCTACGGAAGAGCTGGAGCTGCGATCGAAGTTTAGCACGCGATGGGTCCGTGACTACCCCTGGCTTAGCTTGGAGAACGACAAGAAAGCAGAAAAGTTTGGCATGAAGTGTTCGGTCTGTTCACGCGAGGCTGGTGATAAGCACTCTCCCTTTGGGCGACCTGGGGTTGGAGCCAGGGACATCCTAATTGGGTGCGTTAGAGGACACCATGAGAGCAATTAGCACAAGCGGGCGTTAGAGAAGGAGAAAGGAGAACTTCAGAAGGAGGAAAGGATGAAAAGGTGGCGGGAGTTTGAGAAGGTTGAGCCACATGTTCGTCGTAACGTGCGATGCATGAAGATATGCTATTTTCTTGTAAGGCATGACATCCCAATATCACTGTATCCGGTGTTTGCACGGTGGCTCGCGGATGAGGGCATGGCAGACATGCCACAAGAGGAGATTTACGCTCGGTATTTCTCAATGTAAGTGTTCGTGTATATGAGTGCTTCATTTTGTTTCCCTTTCTTCTTTTCTTTTTGTTTGTCCCCTTACCGCATCCTTGCAAGCTACTCCTATTCTAAATCAGGGATTTGCATCCTCACGCTCCCTATGCGTATTGGTTCTTATGGCAGGATGAGCACGGGGCAATCTCTCGAGGCATTGGCGAAGCATCTGCACGACCAGCAACTGGGCCACATCAAGGCAAGTCCTTGGTTTGGGCTTTCTCTGGACGAATCTACAGACTGCGCCCACGGAAAGCACCTTATCCTGTACTGCACTTACGAACGAGAAGCTTCTGTGGCAAATGAGTTCTTGGCCCATCTCCCACTAGATAAGTGTGATGCTGCATCAATCCATGATGTCCTCACCTCCCACCTCGATAAGAAAGGCTCAGAATTTTGTGGGAATCAGCACAGATGGTGCGAGTGTCATGATTGAAGAGCGCCAAGGCTTGGTGACCCGCCTACAGCAGAAGTACGCTGGATCGTCCCCGTTCACTGCATCGCTCACATGTTGGAATTCATTTGTAGCGGCTGCCTAGCTTTCGATCAAATCTGGCCTTTCCAATGCTTCTTGAATGTGTCCTTTAATTGTTTCTCATTAACTTGAATTCTCAATCACCTCTTTGCACTCCCTTCCCAAACAAAGAAGCTTTAGCTGCAAAGGATGCTGCTGCTGCCATTCCCGACCTTGCCATGATCGACAAGATCATCCGAGCTACGGCTGAGAAGATCGGGCGTTCGAACGTCTTGCGCCATAAGTTTCTCGAGCTTCAGCTGGCTATTCGGGCAACGCATCTGGAGATTCTTAGCATTATAGTAATTCGATGGTTGTCCCATGGAGAAGCAGTAACTAGGTTTTGCGACATGCTGCCTGTTCTTCTAGTCATGTGGAAGACAGATGACGATAAACTGTACAAGCTGGCCAGCAGCTTCAAGTTTCATTTCATGCTCTTCTTGCTATGTGACATTCTGCCATTGCTGGATGGCTTGAACCTGAAATTTCAAGAGCGCCAGGTGCGTCAAACTCTGAACACACAGCTTGGCCTGTTCATCCATCTACCTTGCTCAATGTTCTTCCATATGGCAAGTACTGCTGCTTAACTGCACATGTGGCTGTGACTGTTTATGGCTGCCCCATACAGGTGGATGTCATGGGTGTTGCAGCTTCGGTGGATGAAGTCTGCACAGCCCTCGAGACACGCTACATTGCGCCCACTCGGAGATTTTGGGGAGGATACAAGGGAAGGTTATCTGCTTTCCTGGAGGAGCATGGCAGCCCCAATTCGAGGACGATGGTGGTCGAAGGGGTGGATGGAGATGGGAACCCTTTCTCTACTGTTGTCGATCCACGGGGATGACATCGGAGGGAAGTATGCGAACGGCCTCGAGTCCTGCTACGCACTGGCGAAGGAGTTAGATGTGGCCTTGAAGAGCTCTCTTGGGAGGCGTCTAGGTGATCTAGAGAAGCTTGAGGGAACGAAGCTGTACCGGCCAAAGTCCTATTCTTTGAAGGAACTCGGGACAAGGCTTGGTCCGGTTGGCTGGACCAGCTGCTTGGCCTTTTCGATAACCAGCTGCCAGGTATGCTACATGCTCATACGATATTGTCATCGTGGTAGTTGCACACCCTGCTGCTATGTGCTTCTGCTTCCCTGCATGCATGTTGCTATACTTTTGTGATCCCCACCAACCATCCCCTTGCTGAAATGTGCTTTTGCTACCCTGTATGCATGTTGATATACTTTTGTGATCCCCACCAACCATCCCCCTGCTGCTATGTGCTTTCGCTGCCCTGTATGCATGTTGCTATACTTTTGTGATCCCCACCAACCATCCCCCTGCTGCTATGTGCTTCTACTGCCCTGCATGAATGTTGCTATACTTTTGTGGCCCCCACCAACCATGCCCCAGCAGTTATGTGCTTCTGCTACCGTGTATGCATGTTACTATACTTCTGTGATCCACATCATCCATCCCTCTGTTGCTATGTGCTTTTGCTGCCCTATATGCATGCTGCTATACTTTTGTGATCCCTTTCAATCATCCTCTGGTTGCTATGTGCTTTTGCCTCATCGTATCCATGAACCCATACTCTTGCGATCACCACGAATCATCCCCATCCCACGTGTGAGCAGAGTTCTTTGCGAATGTGAGATTTACGTGCTCACTTCGACGCTCGAAATGCATCAAAAGGAGGAGGGTTTCTACCAAAGCCTGAACAACATTCTCAGTTCGAAGACTGGGATTGCGAATTACCCAAATCTCGTGAACCTCTGGCGTACAGTGACAGTGCTTCCTCTAAGCATTGTCGAGTGCGAAAGAGGTTTCTCTTGTTAAAATATCATTAAGAGTTGGGATCGGACATGCCTGTCCGATATCAGGCTTGCCGAGCTGATAGCTGTGAAGATGTTGGACTTCGAGGTGGATTGGATTGATGTCTTTAGGATTTGGAATGAGATGAGGCGCAGGCGCCCATGTCGGCTGCCTTGGGATGCCGAGGTGGCCTGATATTTGAACTGGGTGTGGTTTTTTATGCAAACTTTGTGCGTGGATAGTTTCACTGATTGTACTTGCTTGCTATCCTATGCGTGCTAAGAATACATACTGTTTTTCTTGTACCAATTCATTGTGCAGGGAAACAGAGTGTTTTTTTACACATCCCTGATTTTTCCAAGCAGTTTTTACAAGAGCCCTGGAAAATCAGAGAGCCGCCACTTTTGACCCTGGTTTTCCAGGGCAGATTCTGAGGGGTGCCCAAATCATCCGGGTTGTCCCAAAACCTAACATAAGCCCTGTTGGCGACAATCGCAGTAACCCGTGGCGACTGGGGCAGGAAAATCGTTGAATATTTGCAGGGGAACAGCAATGCCCCACTGTCATCCGCGGGCAGGGTCTCTCAACTTGCAGGTCACATGGCAAACAGGGCACATGTGCCCTGGCCTGGACTGCGACAAATTCCCTCGCAACAAATTCACCTCCCTCCTCACTTTTCCCTTCCCTCTCCCTCTGTCTGCTGCAGTGATTCTGCTCTGTTCTCCCCTCCCCGCAGCAAGATTCTGCTTGGGACTGCGCGCGACGTGCATGACTGAAAAGGAGAATCACTCACCTGCCTGCACCAACCAGCCAACCAGGCCAACCTCAGCAAGGACGCACGCTGGGTGGGACGGACTGGAGGGAGAACACAGCTGTTGTCGCGGCGCCATCGCTTCTCCACTGCACCTCGGGTGCAGCACCCAGCACTTGAGCTCTTGCCGAGAGAGAGCACCCCTTGAGTTCTTTTCTCGTGAGCTCCTCCTGTCAACGTCAGCCATTGGCCTGAAGCGATCTGAATCATCGGTTTCAAGCGGGCTAGGTTTAGGCCGCCATAGAACCGGTTCAACTGCACAACCGCGTCCTCCGAACGATCTCACGGTTCGCCGCGACTCTGCTCCGCACGCCAAACCGCCGCCTCGTTCCTGCATTCGACGACCCTCGCCCGACTCCACTCAACGCTCTTCAGTCCATACGCACACATCCAAGAATTCGCCCATCCCATCACCCGCGCACGTCGAGTTTTGCGCGGGTATTTCTCAGCATTTCAGCACAACCCGTCTCCGCCGTTCACCTCCCATCACGCTGCGCTCTTCTCTCCGCCTCCCACGCCTTCCGCCGTTCCGCCTCCGCCTCCGCCTCCGCACCTTCCGCCTTTCCCTCACGCCTTCCCGCACCAGCCATGGCCGGCGCCGCTCGCCTGCTCCCCCTGCTCCTCCTCCTCGCCTCCCACGCCTTCCTCTCGTCAGCCGCACCCGTCCCCCCTAAGAGGATCTTCCTTACCGTTCAAGCCAATGCGCAGCGCCGCCGCGCGCGCGCCGCCGCCGCCGCAAGCTCCGCAAACTCCCTGGGCCTCCTCAGCCAGTTCCGCGGCGCCACCTCCGGCCTTTTCTCCTCCGGCGCCGCAACACCCGCCGCAACCGGCCCAATTAAGTACTGGGGAGGTCCCGTCGTCGTTGGTAACCCGACGGTTAACGTCTATCATATCTACTACGGCAGCTGGCCGTCGGGATCCGGGCAGGATTACATCAACAACTTCGTTACGTCTTTAAGTAGCGACTCGGGCGCGCAGGGCGCATCGAGCGACCCGACGGTGAAGGGGTGGTGGGCGATCTCGGCGAACTACTACGAGTCGAACAACGCGGGGAAGAAGAACGTGAGCTCCAAGGTGCGGCTGGCGGGCACGACGTACGACAGCTACTCGTACGGCAAGGCGCTCTCCGACAGCAATGTGCTCTCCAGTAAGTCCCCTGTTACGCTATGGTGCTACTGTGACTCTTGCCGAGCAGGTAGGTCTGGCACTTGCTGAGGCCTCGAAATACGATGTTTTTTCTTCATCTCTGATTAGCTTTGCTCTCTTCTCCGTTGGGCTGCCAACGTGTCGTGCTAATCTACGAGCAGATAGGCTCAGCATTTTCTGAGCCTCTGAAAGGTCATGCTAAACTTGCTCTCCCCTCCCCTTCCCCCAAACCTCCCCTCTCCTCCCCCCTCCTCCCCCCTCCTCCCCCCTCCTCCCCCCTCCTCCCCCCTCCCCTCCTGTCGTTTGTATCACAGTCATCAAGAATAAGATCGGATCTGGCAAGCCATTCGCCTACGATCCGCACGGGATCTACGTGCTTCTAACGAGCAAGGATGTGACCCTATCGTCAGGCTTCTGCACCAAATACTGTGGATGGCACACTTATGGCTACGTTGGATCCTCCCCTTTCTACTACGCGTTCGTGGGCCACCACGGGAAGTGCCCCACCTCCTGTGGCGCAAAGAGCGTCTCCCCTAATGGCAACCCCGCTATAGACGCCACCATCTCAACCCTCGCACATGAAATCTCCGAAGCTGCTACCGACCCGGATGTCAGGTCCGGCTGGTTCGACTCGAACGGGGAGGAGAACGCGGATCTGTGCTCGTGGAGTTACGGAACTACACGCACTACCTCAAATGGAGCCCTTTACAACATGGTTGGATTAAACGGAATGAAATTCCTGGTGCAGCAGAACTGGGACAGGCAGCTGCAGAAGTGCGTGGGGCAAAATGCCGTCCCTGGGGGTACCACCCCCTCCCCTCCTCCCCCATCACCCCCACCACCCCCGGGAACTACCAAGATGAACTGCCAGTGCACCTGTGCCAGTGGCAGCTCTCCCATGAACTGCCAGTGCTCGTGCACGCAGGTTGCCTAATGGGAAGATGGCTGGCAGAAGTCTCCAGCTTGCAGCTGGGGTGACAATCCACTCAATTTGTGCTGTTGGGTGTTTTGTATATTTACCTTGTCATTAGGAGGATGCTACTTTGTTTGGGTTGCTGAGTGACATTTTGTTCTGCTTGTAGCTGTGCAACAAATCCATCTTCATTGAGGGTTTCTCCACAATTGTTTGAAAGAAGGTTGAAGATTTTATTCACAATCAAAGGGGGGTTCTACTAACACACAAATAGGCTGTACCGTAACTTCCTGCTCTGGTTTACTCAAACTTGGGAAATAGCATAGATGTTACAAGGTGAATGGCCAGGGTCTCACCTATAAATATATCTGGCCCCACCAATATCGAGGGCATGCCCTTCTTCCCCATCAGCACAATGGCTGGGAACGCATCTCCAGTCATCTTGGATATCTTTTGCCCCTCCGCCTTGGTTTTGATCTTGTATCCTGCTTTCTCCTTCTGCAGCTTCTTGAACTTGTACTGTTTCGGTACCATGTGGTACTTCAGTATCACGTTGCGCTGCTCTGCACTGTAGTCCTTCATGGTAGTGAAGTATTCTGTAACGTCCAGTGGAATGAGGATCGTTATGGGGCCTTCCTCTCCTGCTGCTGCCAGCACTGCAGAACGAAGCAAAACAGGAGGAAGAAGAAGGGGATTCACAAATGAAGGAATAGCCAGGAAGGAAAGTGTAGGACGCCAACATAGAGAGGGGGAGGAAGAGGGCGAGAGAGAGAGAGAGAGGGCGAGCGAGAGAGAGAGAGAGAGAGAGAGAGAGAGAGAGAGAGAGAGAGAGAGAGAGAGAGAGAGAGAGAGAGAGAGAGAGAGAGAGGGCAAGCGAGAGAGAGAGAGAGAGGGCGAGCGAGAGAGAGAGGGGGCGAGAGAGAGAGAGAGGGGGCGAGAGAGAGAGAGAGGGCGAGAGAGAGAGAGAGAGGGCGAGAGAGAGAGAGGGCGAGAGAGAGAGGAACAGAGACAGAGAGAGAGAAAGAGAGAGAGAGAGAGAGAGAGAGAGAGAGAGAGAGAGAGAGAGAGAGAGAGAGAGAGAGAGAAAGAGAGAGAGAGAGAGAGAGAGAGAGAGAGAGAGAGAGAGAGAGAGAGAGAGAGAGAGAGAGAGAGAGAGAGAGAGAGAGAGAGAGAGTTCCAGGCCTGTGGCAGGAGCCAACGGCGTTACAAAAGCACAACACGACGCAAATCACCACCTGACGTGGGGCCTCTGGGAAGATCCCAGATTCCAGGCTCCGTTTGTCGTTTTTGTATGATCCAGCAGAGAAGGGAGAGACAGAGAGAGGGAGAGGGGGAGAGAGAGCGAGAGGGGGAGAGAGAGCGAGAGAGGGAGGGAGCAGGAAGCACCTTAGTCTGGGGAAATGTGGTTTGCTTGTTAGAAACCCTCGGTCTCTTGTTATCATACACCATGATATCATATGGTAGCTAAAAGCGTTGTGCAGTGCGCCCATATTACTACGTTGTACACTTACAGAGGCTTTCAGCAAATTTGACGTAAGCAGGAACTTCCTTTCCCTTTCCGCCGTCACCGCCGCCCCCGTCCCCTCCACCTCCACCTCCAGCCATTGGCGACGTTTGTGAACTTCGCGGAAACGGCAGACGAAACGCGTACGGTCGGAAGCGGTAATGTGTCTTCACGGCGGAAATAGCGCGAAGCAGTTCGTTTGGCCGAATGGCTTGCACGGAGGGGACCGAGGCTGCGGCGGCTGAAACGATGAACAGGAGAAGGGCGAGCGAGCAGGGCCGAGAAGAGCAGGGAAGCGGCGAATGGCCGCGGCAGGCTTGGCGGTGCGCCATTGTCAATAGTATTGGCGGCGAAAATTGCGTTCAGGATCTGGCGCTCGCAATGCTTAGCAGCAGGACCGCCCGATGGTTCCCGCCGCGCCGTCCACCTGCGACCTGTGAACAGAATAACTCTGGGCAGTGAGGACTCAGGGGCAACAAAGGTCGAAGGTGATGATCCGGCCGTTGAGGTGCTAGATGGACGGATTGAACTGCCGCGGTGGCTCAGACGCTTCTGGGGGGTGAGCCGAACGTGTGAGGGGACGTGCGCCGATGAGAAGCTTGAATGAATAGAAATTATAGCTTGTTGCCTGTCAACTCGACGCAAGTCACCGCGGAATACGTTCAACTCTCCGGGTACGGGATCAATATAAACTGCCGATAAACGGAGGAGGAAGGGCGATCGCGCCTCAGGAACGCGCTTCCGTTCGTCCATGGTTCTAAGAAAAGGAGTCAGGTGCAGAACGATAACCCTCGGAGCCGTGATGTGCGGCTGATGGCAATCTGCTGATCCCCAGTTGACAATAACGAGTCGTCGGCATGCGAGATGTTTCTCGCATCGCGTCGCATCCCACCCTTCCGTCTGCTCCCCCTTCCAACACTACAACGACGACAGATGCAGATTTCTCGAGAAGCCTCATAGCAGCCACGCAATCTGGGGGACCAGGGTGGTGCCATGCTAACGCCTCACTGCACAGCACAACCCGCACGGGGAACCACCCATGTGGGCGCTCCACGAGTGCGCTTGTCATGCGCTGATTGGCTGAAACGCGGGCCTTTTTACTTGCAAGGGTGATCTGGTGTGGTGATGTACTTGGCTGGCTTAGGAACTTCACTGCAGTCGCAAATACCCCCTCCCCTAGCTCTGAAATGCGGAATTAGTAGGCACTTGACGTGCGACGAGTGCGAGTGTGGAAGTCTGATGATTGCTTCTGCGACTGGATCGCAGCAAGGCAGGGCGATTTTCCTGATCCACTCGTTGCGCCAGACTGATCCGATCTGTCGTCGAACCACGAGTCGCAACTGAATTTGCTCTCATTCGCTGGCTCCTGAGAAGTGGGCGAGCACTTGGGAGGCGAACAGAAGTACCTTCTGGATGTGTTACAACTTGTACAACTGTTATGAACGAACAAGCCGTAGCGCGGAAATGAATAACGAAGTGCAATCACTCATTGAGGATTCAAGGAATGGCAAGCCAAGATATAGGAACACCAGAGCTAGTCTAACCATGCGATGGGAAGGTTCGGGAAGGAGATCAAAGGGCCGCGAAGTGACGAAGCGAGGCCCAGAGAACTCCCGAAGGTCGAACTAGAAGGTCTGGAGAAGCCGATGCGGTTCTGTCATAAAGGTCTGGAACAGTCCCGAGGCTTCGGGTGTGTTCGAGCGTTTGCGATAGCAGTACCGCTCGGTAAGGAATGGAAAATTCCTTACACCACCCCCCCCTTAGCGAAGCTGATCTATATCAGCCACGTGCTTGCGGTCCAAATATTTCGCAAGTATCTGGTCCGAGGGCACCCACGTGTCGTCCTAACTGGTACGATTGGTCCATCGTATCAGAAAGTCAACGTGTCGTCCTTGACCGTCGATACGAATCCGATGGTTCAAGATCTTCGAAGGCTCGATGGTCGTCTCGGCTGGTGGCCGTACATATGGGACCAATCGCTGTCGGGCGATGTCCGACGTGTCAGGAACGAAGGGTCGCAATAGGCTCACGTGGAACTTGTTGTGAATACGCCAGTCATCAGGTAGGCGCAACTGGGCGGTCACCGGCATCACCATCTTCATGATCTTAAATGGGCCACAGAAACGTGGTCGTAATTTCGTCGGTAGTGGCAGTCGTAAATTCTTGGTGTCCAAAAGGACTAGTTTCTTAGAACTGAATGATTGATTGAGTAGTGAGAGAGTCCAAGTGAATATACCTAAGTGTTGTACCCTCTAAGGGGCGACCCTATACAGTCTATACAAACATAACAGATATACATGTTTGACACACCCCCTAGATTGCATAGGGGCAGTTCCTGAACAAGCAGCTCAGGGTGGCACTACTAGTCCAGCCACTGAGACAAGGGTCTAAAAGACCAGTCAGAAGGAGTACAGACAAGGCAAGAAGAAGACCAGGGCGGCACTACTAGTCCAGCCACTGGGAGAGGACACAAGTCCAGTCTGAGTACATATACATATATAGGACAGTACAAAGTCAAGGCCCTAGCAAGTGAGAGGCTACATGAACTAGACCGAGCTGTACACAGTGCCGCTGATGATCTTTAGGCACAAGCTCTGCCTTCACGGAGGCCAGTGCGTCCCTGTCTGCTGTGGCAAAGACCAGATCGTCCACGTAAACAAGGATGTAGAACGGAGTCTGGCCAGCACGAACGAAGAGTGAGGGGTCTGCGGAAGATGGAAAAAACTGGAGTTCAGCAAGGGTAGCACGCAACATGTCGTGCCACTCACGGGGAGCCTGCCGCAGGCCGTAGACGGGACGCCGCAGGAGCCACTGGGTCCCAGGAGGGAAGGTGCCAGTAAGCCCTGAGGGCGACGCAGGTAGACCTGCTCGTGTAGGCTGCCCTAAAGGAAGGCAGTGGAGAAGTCGAGGGAGTGAAGCTCGTAGTCACGCTGAGCAGCTAGGTGTAACAGAACCCGACGAGTAGTCATCTTCGGGGTCGGAGCGAAGGTCTGACAAGAAGTCCACCCCGTCACGCTGACTGAAGCCTCTAGCCACGTAGCGCGCCTTGAACACAGGCGGCTCTCCAGGAGGGCGCTTCACCTTGAAGAGCCAGCGGCCATCGACTACGTTCACCCCAGGCGGGGGAACTGCGTCGACGAAGGTGCCGGTGGACCTCCAAGATGCCATCTCCTGCTCCATGGCAGCTATCCACTGCGAGGCCCAAGGTCCCGAGGTCGCCTCAGCGTAAGTGCGAGGGGTTGGGATGTCGAAAGCGTCTGGGTCACCCTCAGGGACTAGCAGCATGGAACAGAGATGGGGAGCAGCCTCGGACAGGAAAGCAAGCTCGAACTGGCGGTCCTCCAGGACGTCACTGCCGAGGGCAGGAGCACCCCCGACAGACGGAGGACAGGCAGGGTTAGAGACCAGAGCGGTGGCGTAGTCAAGGCGGCGGGTAGAGGCGAAGTCAGCAACCGCAGCGACAAGAGCGTCAAGACACGAGATCGGGACAGACGGGTCGGTAACGAGAGAGGCGAGGACCCGAGGAACAAGAGGACGAGCGGCACGAAGGTAGTGAGACAGAGGAGGAGGCGCAACGGTAAGAGAGGACAGAGGAGGCGACGGTAGAAGGGGAGGACAAGACGCGTGGGAACGGAGCAACATAGGGTGAGAGAGCGTGACAGGGGAGACAGGACGAGCGGGGGAGGGACGGCGGGACCAGGCATGAGATGGAGGCGTCGGGTCAGGAGACAGAGGAGGGGACACAAGGGGGGAGCGAGGGGGGAGACGAGCCGGGGACGAGTTCGGCGGAGGGAACACAGGGCCGTAGACAGGAAGAGGAGGAGACGGCAGGAGAGGAACAGACACAGGGTCAGGGGACGGAAAGCCGAGCAGGCGAAGGGCTGACACCGGCGGGGACTGCTGCTGCGGCGGTACAACACCAACACCGGGACCGCAAGCTGCTCCTCGGCTCCCTCCAGGACACTCCACTCCGGCACCCCCAGAAGGAACACCCCTGGAGCCCGAAACCCCTCGAGCACCGCTACCACCCCCAGGAACACTGGGGCAGGCCACAACAGGAACCCCAGAACTAGCACCCACCCCAACGCAGGCACCCCCAGAATCGATGAACTGTTGCTGCGACGGCGGCGGCGGTATCGACGGGTGCGGCGGCGACGGCGGCGGAGACAACGGCTGCGACAGCAGAGGCGACGGCGGCCGCAGAGGCTGTGGAGGAGGAGACACCGGGGGAGGGACAGACGGCGAGGACTGCGCCGCAGGACCACCAGAGTCAGAGGACTCCTCGACCGGGACAACCGACGGGAGAGGGGTGACGTGGGACACACCAGAGGGGGCAGGACGGGTAGGGGGAGGGGGGGGGGGCAGGGACTACCGGGGAAGGAGTGACCAGGAACAGGTGGGGAGTAATAGGGGGACCGCGGTGGGGGAAGCGACGGTAGAAGGAGACGGAATCATTAAAGGTGACATCTCGAGAGTGAAAGAACCGGTGAGACGGCGGGTGGTAAAAGTGCCAGTCGGACGCGTCAAGGGGGAAACCGAGGAAGACACAGGGAAGGGTGCGGGCAGTGAGCTTGTCCGTGCCAGAGGCACGAACGTGAGCAAGACAGCCGCAGACGTGGAACGCAGACGCGTCACCAGGAGACCTGGTCCAAAGAAGGGTCAGCGAAACCTGCGGCCACTGGGGGTGCGGCCACAGGTTAAGCCGGTGAGCAGCGTAGCGCACGGCGAACGGCCACAGAAAATGGGGTGCACCGGCATGGATCATGGAGGTGCGAGCCACCTCCATGACCAAACCGATGTGTCGCTCAGCGACCCCATTCTGCTGTGGGGAGTCCGGCAAGGTGAACGTCTAGGTGATGCCCTCCGCACGACAGAAATGACCAAGGACACCTGAGGCAAACTCGCCACCATGGTTGGAGTGAAGACGCAGAACAGGGAGACCTCGGTGGAGACGCGCAGAGACAAGCCAGGGGATGAGAGCGTCATGCACGCCGGCCTTGCGCTCCAGGGGAAAGACGGTGGTGTAGCGAGTGAAGTCGTCGACAAGCACGAGGAAGTAGCGCTCTCGACGCGGCCCATGGACGGGGGCGGGGCCCCAGATGTCCATGTGCAGGGTCTGCAACGGCGCGGCGTTAGGGGGAAACGAGGAGGAGTGAGGGGCACGGCGAAGCCAACCCTCGACACAAGGCGTGCAAGGTGGGGCGGGGGAGGAGGGAAAAGCGGGGAACGAACCAGGGAGACCAAGGACGAGACCGTGCTGGGACATGTGACGCAGACGCGGGAGCGCAGGGTGACCTAGGCGGTGGTGCCAAAGGAGGGTCGGGTGAGTGAGGGACCGACAGGAGCAAGCAGCAGCAACCTGGGTAGACGCAGCCACCTGAAGGGACGCCCCAGCCGGGGGGGTCACGGTGTCCAGGGTGAACTGGCCGGACACCGGGTCCCGGAGAAACGTGGACAACGGGGCACCAGTGTCGGCCTCGGTACAGACAGCATACCGCTCGTGACCAGGGAACGTAGTGGTGACGCCAAGGTCTTGGAGGCAGCCGACACCAACTAGTTTCCTGGAGAACGAGGGGATATGTAGACCTGTGAGAGAGCCCGAAGGAACCGCCGGACAGGGAAGGGTGGTGGAACTGTGAGCGACTACGGGACCGCCGGAGGGGTCAGCAAGAGAAACTGCTGCAGGAACAGGAAGCGGCGTCAGCGTAGTAGAGTCGCGGAAGAAACATCGGGAAGCTCCAGAGTCCAAGGTGAAGGAAAGCAAAGCAGTGGCGTCTGGCGACGGGGCGACGGCGGAAGCACCAAGGCTAAACAAGGCAGAAGCTCCTACGCCTGACGCAGCAGGGGAGGCTAAGCTAGGCACACCTACACTAGACGACAAGGAATAATAATAGGGGAGCACACTAGAGTCATCAGCGTACATCACATGCAGTGCAGAAACAATGGCATCCATGTCCATGTCAAAAATCTGAACTCTACGATTAAGCAAACTGTGCCAGTCCGGGAGGTCGGGCGAAGGGCCGAAAAGCTGACGAAACAGGTCGT